CATTCTAGTTTTTTTTTCTCCTATTATTTTTTGAGTATCATTTTTGTATGATATATTTAGTATATAATCTTCATCCAGGATGCAACAAAGACCTTGAAAATGGATTTCTCAATATATATATATATATATATATATATTATATTATATATATATATATATTTTTTTTTTTTTACATGTAGGCTATCTGTTGAAACGCTATGGCTATGTTACCAGTTGCGTTATCAGGTGTATTGTAATTATTTTCATTATTATCACTTATAAGATAAACAACTGGTAGATATGTAAATACAACAAAGATCGCGGACATCCCATCCATAGTGGTTGCTTCTGGCCCGCGATACATATAGGAGAACGCCATTTAGCTCCAAGGTAAAACTGGAATAGTGCGGCGGGTTATACACACTTTGCAACTCACTTTTGGGAGGACCAATATAGTGCTAAAGAAGGAAGCCGAACAGGAGATAAATATGCGCATCTCACTTCTCACTCTCTTGTCATGTTTACAGCCGCATTTGTGCCAGCCGTTAAAAGTTGATTTCCGTGTAAAGCGCAGCATCGGGAACGTCAACTACAAAATCAAATTCAATATAACTTGACGCAGCTGACCAAAGAGAGGCATGCTATATCTTGCATTATTTTCCAGGAGAGTCATTGTCTGCTATATGAATCAACTCATTGTGTGGTTGTCAGTGACATCGCTACATATGCTGCTGGTGTTTGTAATATTGTCATAAGATTTTAATTAGTTTTAATTTATGTAAATTATTTCACAGACGTATTTTTTCTTTACAAACGGAACATTTTCAAACATCTGTAAATTTAACAGATAAAGATTGGTAGCCTGAATGCTAAAATTTTATCCATAAAATATTTTTTCTCTCTCTGTACACATAACAAAAGTACGAAATTTCTGCACTTTCGTCGAGTGTTTTCCCCGAGTAAAAATACATTTGTAGTTGAATGATGGAGTCCAAGCACATGGGCAAGCGATTTCATTGGTCATCTGGGTTGACAATAGTAATCACGAACCGGAATGAGTCTTAATAACACTCCCTGAGAATTGGAAGGGAATCTACAAATATTACGAGAAAAAATCACCAAAAGATCTTTGGAAACATCATGGGTCAACATTGACCCGAATTGGAAGGGAATCTCCAAATATTATTGCGACAAAAAATCAAAAGTCTTCTAATTTGCAACTCATACCATCTTTGTTTATACCTCTTCTATCACCGCTAATTGGGGCTGGCGTAGTATATTAAAATTCCTTGGAGGACCGTATAAAAGGCTCGAAAGGAGGAAGGAAGGCACTCATTCTTTCCTTTTCACTCTGGTCTAACATCGAAATCCAAAAGATGTTTCTGAGAACAGTAAGTGCAAAACTCCAGCATTTTAACACACGTAGAATAGTAAATGTAGAACAGTAAAGGTAAAGGTAATGCTACCATAAAGAACTGTGTTATTCTGATTTAGAACCCGTTTGAGAGACAATGTGTAACTTTTTCTTTTCTTTTCTTTTTTTACCATCACGTATTTATTTAAATTCATCATATAACGAGCTCTCTAGGCACTTATGGTTGATGGTTCAGATATTTCGTACCAGAATAAAAAAAAAAAAAAAACACCACAAAGACATAATACATTTTTTTTGTATTCCATCGCAGCTCACTGTGGTCCTGGCGGTCGGGTTCCTGGTCGACGCCGAGGCCAAACCGGCTCCCAGTCCCATGGTTCTTCCTTATGGCGTCTCCGGCCCTGTCCTGCCTGGCATGCTCGGAGCCCCTGTGGTACAGCCAATGTCTCCAATGATGTACCCTCCAACACCAGCGCTACTTGCTCCCCATCCACCAATGCTTCCCTTTCATCCGCCTGTGTTATCTCATCTACCAATGCTACCTATGTTAGCTCCTCATCCACCAATACTGCCTATGTTAGCTCCTCATCCTCCAATGCTGCCTATGTTAGCTCCTCCACATGTGCTACCTATGCCCTGCCTATGTTAGCTCCTCACCCACCAATGCTTCCTATCCCATCGCCCATGCTTCCTGCACCAATGATCCCATCCATGGTTCACGGTCCGTTATTAGCGCCTCACCCACCGATGGTGCCGGCGTTTGGTTAGGCGGAAGGCGTGGCACCATTTCCACTGGCCCCGAGGTAGGCGCCGAGGAGTATTGTTGCTTTTATATAGGGGGATAGTGAGATAGAGATAACAAATGGATGGGCACACACACACACACACACACACACACACACACACACACACACACACACACACACACACACACACACACATATATATATATATACTATACACACACACACACACACACACACACACACACACACACACACACACACACACACACACACACATATATATATATATATATAAAACATTTAAATCTTGCTTTTTTTCACAGAATTTAGCTCCCGACGACGACTTCGACCTGGAAATAGCTGTTACAACACAATCCAATAGTCAGAATATTTGCAAGAGAGAAAATGGAAAACAAAGCAAAAAAAAAAAGATGCATTCATCTGTGTATATCATTAAAAAAAAAACTTATACCCAATACAAACATATTCATATACATATAAACATGTAATATATACATATATATGCACATATATGTATGTACATAAATGTACGCACACACACACGCACATAATATATGTATATATATGTATATATATATACATATATATAATATATATATGTAAATATGTATATATATATATATATATATATATATATATATATATATATATATATATATATATATATCAAGAGAGAAACACCGGGCTGGGACCGTCATATTTATTATGCGATGTTTCGGATTCATTAACTTAAATCCCTTCTCAAGCCATTCTATTGGGAGAAAGTACAATATAAGGACACTATAAAATAACATAAAAATCATAAGTGGCCGTTACAAAATTAGATAACTTTAAATAATAAAACAAGTAAAAAGGATAAAACTAAAGTAATACTAAAACTGATGTTTAACATACAGATAAAACGAAAAATGTATGGACAAACAAAACAAAACGAAATATAATACACAACCAAAAGGACACTACTTACGGTCATTCGTTTAACTTTAAAAACACAAGAGTGGTGTGAAGGTTTCATTATTACTGAGAGTTGGTTTATGTATATATGTTAGTATGCTCTCCATGATAAGGAGCTGTTGGTGGTATGGTGTGCTTGCCAAGACTGAAAAATCTTTGCGATGTATGGGGTGATCTGTGTCAATTGCGTGATTACTGATTGCTGAAAAGGGTGGTTTGGTCATTTGGGTGCCAGTTCTGTCGGAAATATCCAGATGCTGTGAGATGCGTGTTTTCAAGTGTTTAGTGGTTTTACCGATCGATATATGATGCCTTACAGCTATCGCACGTATATTTGTAAACAATGTTAGATTTTTTAATTCAGTGTGTATTATGTCTTTGAACTTGAAAAGGTATTTAAAGGTGTTCTTTGTTCTGAAAATAAACATTTAATTTGATCTGTGGGTAGAATTCACTGACTATTTTGGATACTTTTTGTTTTGATTGGAGGGTGGGTGGACCTGTGCAGATCACGGGAAAGGAAAGTACTTTCTTTGGTACCGTAATATTTTACTGATACATCGGTAAAACTCTGAACATCTTGAGCAACAAGCATTCCAACATTCCAAATGACCAAACCACCCTTCTCAGCAATCAGGAAGCACGCAGGTGACACAGATCACCCCATACATCGCAAAGATTTTTCAGTGTTGGCAAGCACACCATACCACCAGCAGCTCCTAATCATGGAGGCTATACTAACATATATCCATACACCAACTCTCAGTAATAATGAAACCTTCACACCACTCTTGTGCTTTTAAAGTTAAACGAATGACCGTAAGTAGTGTCTTTTTGGTTGTGTATTTTATTTTTCTTATGTTTCGTTTTTTTATTCATACATTTTTTTTTTTCGTTTTATCTGTATTTACGTTATTTTTGTACTGGTCATCTATGTTGAATTTTTTTGTGTGTGTTTTAACAAGTTTTAGTATTACTTTAGTTTTATACCTTTACTTGTTTTATCAGTTTATTTTAAGTTATCTTATTTTGTAACGCCCACTTAGGATTTGTATGTTATTTTATATTTTCCTTATATTGTACTTTCTCCCATTAGATTGGCTTGAGAATGAATTTAAGTTAATGAATCCGAAACGTCGCCTAATAAATATGATGGTCCCAGCCCTGGTGTTTCACTTCTTGATACGACTGCGCTTCCCACGCAATGAACCCATCAGATATATATATATATATATATATATATATATATATATATATATATATATATGTGTGTGTGTGTGTGTGTGTGTGTGTGTGTGTGTACCCATATATATATATATATATATATATATATATATATATATATATATTATATATGTATACACACACACACACACACATGTATCTATTATATATATATATATATATATATATAGATATAGATATAGATATAGATATATACTATATATAAAGCATGCGACTTTGTGTCGGGGTGTTCACGTGAATTTCAACTTCTTACAAAAATAAGTTCATAGAATTTATATATATATATATATATATATATATATATATATATATATATATATATATATATATATATACATCCACAAGATGGAAGATATCCTACACGATTTTGCTACGAAACTTGCCTCCTTGCCAAGATATCATGTACTGGAACCAGGAATAAATAAAAATATCAGTGAATTTTATAAATATCTATAATTAGGCCTACTGATTTCTGGCGGCTCCTAGTGGATGCCACAACCTGGTTTAAGCTTTTAAAAGGGCGTTAAAGGCTTCTTAACTGAGGGTGGAAGGGATTTAGCAAGTTAAAGATGAAGCTTTGCAAGGAATCAGAATGGGAAATCGATATAAAGAGCCACTCGAACCCATCGTCTAATATCTATGGGAACTTTTAAAGAATCATTCATCAAATATTTCTACTGATGACACAACTGGTGGACACGGTGTTGGATATACCACCTATACCACGGCGCATATGGTAGACAGTAGGGCTTCGCGGTGCGTGGTATTAAGTCCTCATGTCAAGGATAAAATCGGAGTTTAGAAGAGAAAAAATCCGTCATTTACCCACTTACAGTCTAACTCAATCATCCCATTTGGCAAAAACTCGCGTCATGACCTACATTAATATAAGTTCATTTCTTGTCTTTATACACAGATAGCTTTCACCTATTATAAATGTGTGTGTGTGTGTGTGTGTGTGTGAGTGTGATGTATGTTTTTACACACACACACACACACACACACACACACACACACACACACATATATATATATATATATATATATATATATATATATATATATATATATATATATATAAGGTAAAACTGGAATAGTGCGGCAGGTTATACACACTTTGCAACTCACTTTTGGGAGGACCAATATAGTGCTAAAGAAGGAAGCCGAACAGGAGACAGAAATATGCGCATCTCACTTCTCACTCTTTTGTCATGTTTATAGCCGCATTTGTACCAACCGTTAAGAGTTGATTTCCGTGTAAAGCACAGCATCGGGAACGCCAACTACAAAATGAAATTCAATATAACTTGACGCAGCTGAACAAAAGAGAGGCATACTATATCTTGCATTATTTTCCAGGAGAGTCATTGTCTGCAATATGAATCAGCTCATGGTGTGGTTGTCAGTGACATGCTACATATTGCTGCTAGTGTTTATTAATTTCTTACTAAAATGGGATAATTACAAAATGTTAAATGTTGGACTTCAATTTGAACATTCGCTTTGTGGAACTGTAACATACACATGTTTTTAAGTGTTTATCATTCAGTTTAAAAGAATTTGCTGTTTTTGAAGTAACAGTTAATACTGTAAGTATATCAGATAACATACCGTTAAAAAATGCAAATAGAAATAACTGAATGCTTAACTTTTCTCATTTCCTATGATTTATGTCAAATATTTCACAGACGTTTTTTTCTTTACAAACGGAACATTTTCAAACATCTGTAAATTTAACAGATAAAGATTGGTAGCCTGAATGCTAAAATTTTATCCATAATTTTTTTTCTCTCTGTACACATAACAAAAGTACGAAATTTCTGCACTTTCGTCGAGTGTTTTCCCCAAGTAAAAATACATTTGTAGTTGAATGATGGAGTCCAAGCACATGGGCAAGCGATTTCATTGGTCATCTGGGTTGACAATAGTAATCACGAACCGTGAATCACTCTTAATAACACACCCCGAGAATTGGAAGGGAATCTCCAAATATTATTGCGAGAAAAAATCACCCAAGTCATCTAATTTTCAACTCATACCATCTTTGTTTATACCTCTTCTATCAGCCGCTAATTGGGGGCTGGCGTAGTGTATTACGAAAGGAGGAAGGAAGGCACTCATTTTTTCCTTTTCACTCTGGTCTAACATCGAAATCCAAAAGATGTTTCTGAGAACAGTAAGTGCAAAACTCCAGCATTTTAACACACGTAGAATAGTAAATGTAGAACAATAAAGGTAAAGGTAATGCTACCATAAAGAACTGTTATTCTGATTTAGAACCCGTTTCAGAGACAATGTGTAACATTTTTTTTTCTTTTTTCTTTTTTACCACCATCACGTATTTATTTAAATTCATCATATAACGAGCCCTCTAGGCACTTATGGTTGATGGTTCAGATATTTCGTACCAGAATGAAAAAAAAAAAAAAAAAAAACACACACCACAAAGACATAATACATTTTTTTTGTATTCCATCGCAGCTCACTGTGGTCCTGGCGGTCGGGTTCCTGGTCGACGCCGAGGCCAAACCGGCTCCCAGTCCCATGGTTCTTCCTTATGGCGTCCCCGGCCCTGTCCTGCCTGGCATGCTCGGAGCCCCTGTGGTACAGCCAATGTCTCCAATGATGTACCCTCCAACACCAGCGCTACTTGCTCCCCATCCACCAATGCTTCCCATTCATCCGCCTGTTATCTCATCCACCCATGTTAGAATGTTAGCCCCTATGTTAGCTCCCACCAATGCTGCCTATGTTAGCTCCTCATCCTCCAATGCTGCCTACGTTAGCTCCTCGTCCACCAATGCTACCTATGCACCTGCCTATGTTAGCTCCTCATCCACCAATGCTTCCCATCCCATCGCCATGCTTCCTGCACCAATGATCCCATCCATGGTTCACGGTCCGTTATTAGCGCCTCACCCACCGATGGTGCCGGCGTTTGGTTAGGCGGAAGGCGTGGCACCATTTCCACTGGCCCGAGGTAGGCGCCGAGGAGTATTGTTGCTTTTATATAGGGGGATAGTGAGAGAGATAACAAATGGATGGGCACACACATACATACACACACACACATATATATCATATATATGTATACATATACACACACACACACACACACACACACACACACACACACACACACACACACACACACACACACACACACACACACACACACACACACACATATATATATATATATAACATTTTAAATCTTGCTTCTTTCACAGAAATTAACTCCCGACGACGACTTCGACCTGGAAATAGCTGTTACAACACAATCCAATATTTGCAAGAGAGAAAATGGAAAATAAAAGCAAATAAATAAAAAGATGCATTCATATGTGTATATCATTAAAAAAAAAAAAAAAAATAAATAAAAAAAATAACCCATATACAAACATATTCATCTATATGCATATATATATGTATGTACATAAATGTACACATACACAGACGCACATATGTATGTGTGCATGTGTGTGTATATATGTATATATATATATACATATATATATATATATATATATATAATATATATATATAATATATATATATATTTATGTATATATATAAATATATATCATGTATATATATATACACATATATGTATATATGTAAATATATATATATATATATATATATATACATACATACATACATATATATATATATATATATATATGTCAAATATTTCACAGACGTATTTTTTCTTTACAAACGGAACATTTTCAAACATCTGTAAATTTAACAGATAAAGATTTGTTGCCTGAATGCTAAAATTTTATCCATAAAATATTTTTTCTCTCTACACATAACATAAGTACGAAATTTCTGCACTTTCGTCGAGTGTTTTCCCCAAGTAAAAATACATTTGTAGTTGAATGATGGAGTCCAAGCACATGGGCAAGCGATTTCATTGGTCATCTGGGTTGACAATAGTAATCACGAACCGGGAATGAGTCTTAATAACACTCCCTGAGAATTGGAAGGGAATCTACAAATATTACGAGAAAAAATCACCCAAAAGTCTTCTAATTTTCAACTCATACCATCTTATCTTTGTTTATACATCTTCTATCAACCGCTAATCGGGGGCTGGCGTAGTCTATTAAAATTCCTTGGAGGACCGTATAAAAGGCTCGAAAGGAGGAAGGAAGGCACTCATTCTTTCCTTTTCACTCTGGTCTAACATCGAAATCCAAAAGATGTTTCTGAGAACAGTAAGTGCAAAACTTCAGCATTTTAACACACGTAGAATAGTAAATGTAGAACAGTAAAGGTAAAGGTAATGCTACCATAAAGAACTGTGTTATTTTGATTTAGAACCCGTTTGAGAGACAATGTGTAACATTTTCTTTTCTTTTCTTTCCTTTTTTACCACCATCACGTATTTATTTAAATTCATCATATAACGAGCCCTCTAGGCACTTATGGTTGATGGTTCAGATATTTCGTACCAGAATAAATAAATAAAAGACATAATACATTTTTTGTATCCCATCGCAGCTTACTGTGGTCCTGGCGGTCGGGTTCCTGGTCGACGCCGAGGCCAAACCGGCTCCCAGTCCCATGGTTCTCCCTTATGGCGTTCCCGACACTGTCCTGCCTGGCATGCTCGGAGCCCCTGTGGCACAGCCAATGTCTCCAATGATGTACCCTCCAACACCAGCGCTACTTGCTCCCCATCCACCAATGCTTCCCATTCATCCGCCTATGTTATCTCATCCACCAATGCTACTTATGTTATCCTCATCCACCAATGCTGCCTATGTTAGCTCCAATGTTGCCGATCCACCAATGCTGCCTATGTTAGCTCCTCATCCTCCAATGCTTCCTACGTTAGCTCCTCGTCCACCAATGCTACCTATGCACCTGCCTATGTTAGCTCCTCATCCACCAATGCTTCCCATCCCATCGCCATACTTCCTGCACCAATGATCCCATCCATGGTTCACGGTCCGTTATTAGCGCCTCACCCACCGATGGTGCCGGCGTTTGGTAAGGCGGAAGGCATGGCACCATTTCCACTGGCCCCGAGGTAGGCGCCGAGGAGTATTGCTGCTTATTATAGGGATAGAGAGATAACAAATGGATGGGCACACACATACAATACACACACACACATATATACATATACATACAATGCACACACACACACCACACACACACACACACCACACACACACACACAGACACACACACACACACACAACACACACACACACACACACACACACACACACACATAATATATATATATATACATTTTAAATCTTTCTTTCACAGAAATTAACTCCACGACGACTTCGACCTGGAAATAACTGTTACAACACAAATCCAATATTTGCAAGAAGAAAATGGAAAATAAAAGCAAATAAATAAAAGATGCNAAGTACGAAATTTCTGCACTTTCGTCGAGTGTTTTCCCCAAGTAAAAATACATTTGTAGTTGAATGATGGAGTCCAAGCACATGGGCAAGCGATTTCATTGGTCATCTGGGTTGACAATAGTAATCACGAACCGGGAATGAGTCTTAATAACACCCCTGAGAATTGGAAGGGAATCTACAAATATTACGAGAAAAAATCACCCAAAAGTCATCTAATTTTCAACTCATACCATCTTATCTTTGTTTATACCTCTTCTATCAACCGCTAATCGGGGGCTGGCGTAGTATTAAAATTCCTTGGAGGACCGTATAAAAGGCTCGAAAGGAGGAAGGAAGGCACTCATTCTTTCCTTTTCACTCTGGTCTAACATCGAAATCCAAAAGATGTTTCTGAGAACAGTAAGTGCAAAACTCCAGCATTTTAACACACGTAGAATAGTAAATGTAGAACAGTAAAGGTAAAGGTAATGCTACCATAAAGAACTGTGTTATTCTGATTTAGAACCCGTTTCAGAGACAATGTGTAACATTTTTTTTCTTTTCTTTTTTTTTACCACCATCACGTATTTATTTAAATTCATCATATAACGAGCCCTCTAGGCACTTATGGTTGATGGTTCAGATATTTCGTACCAGAAAAAAAAAAAGAGACATAATACATTTTTTGTATCCCATCGCAGCTCACTGTGGTCCTGGCGGTCGGGTTCCTGGTCGACGCCGAGGCCAAACCGGCTCCCAGTCCCATGGTTCTTCCTTATGGCGTTCCCGGCCCTGTCCTGCCTGGCATGCTCGGAGCCCCTGTGGCACAGCCAATGTCTCCAATGATGTACCCTCCAACACCAGCGCTACTTGCTCCCCATCCACCAATGCTTCCCATTCATCCGCCTATGTTATCTCATCCACCAATGCTACTTATGTTAGCTCCTCATCCACCAATGCTGCCTATGTTAGCTCCTCATCCTCCAATGTTGCCTATGTTAGCTCCTTATCCACCAATGCTGCCTATGTTAGCTCCTCATCCTCCAATGCTGCCTACGTTAGCTCCTCGTCCACCAATGCTACCTATGCACCTGCCTATGTTAGCTCCTCATCCACCAATGCTTCCCATCCCATCGCCATACTTCCTGCAACAATGATCCCATCCATGGTTCACGGTCCGTTATTAGCGCCTCACCCACCGATGGTGCCGTCGTTTGGTAAGGCGGAAGGCATGGCACCATTTCCACTGGCCCCGAGGTAGGCGCCGAGGAGTATTGCTGCTTTTATATAGGGGGATAGTGAGAGAGATAACAAATGGATGGGCACACACATACATACACACACACACATATATATCATATATATGTATACATATGCACACACACACACACACACACACACACACACACACACACACACACACACACACACACCACACACACACACACACACACACACACATATATATATATATATATAACATTTTAAATCTTTCTTTCACAGGAAATTAACTCCCGACGACGACTTCGACCTGGAAATAACTGTTACAACACAATCCAATATTTGCAAGAGAGAAAATGGAAATAAAAGCAAATAAATAAAAAGATGCATTCATATGTGTATATCATTAAAAAAATAAAAAAAAATAAAAAAAATAAACCCATATACAAAAACATATTCATCTATATGCATATATATATGTATGTACATTAATGTACACATACACAGACGCACATATGTATGTGTGCATGTGTGTATATATATGTATATTATTTATATATATATTAAATATATATATATATATATTATATATATATTATGTATATTATATAAATATATATCATGTATATATATATACACATATATTATATGTAAAATATATATATATATATATATATATATATATATACATACATACATACATACATATATATATATATATATATATTGTCAAATATTTCACAGACGTATTTTTTCTTTACAAACGGAACATTTTCAAACATCTGTAAATTTAACAGATAAAGATTTGTAGCCTGAATGCTAAAATTTTATCCATAAAATATTTTTTCTCTCTACACATAACAAAAGTACGAAATTTCTGCACTTTCGTCGAGTGTTTTCCCCAAGTAAAAATACATTTGTAGTTGAATGATGGAGTCCAAGCACATGGGCAAGCGATTTCATTGGTCATCTGGGTTGACAATAGTAATCACGAACCGTGAATCACTCTTAATAACACCCCGAGAATTGGAAGGGAATCTCCAAAATATTGCGAGAAAAAATCACCCAAAAGTCTTCTAATTTTCAACTCATACCATCTTTGTTTATATACCTCTTCTATCAGCCGCTAATGGGGGCTGCGTAGTATTAAAATTCCTTGGAGGACCGTATAAAAGGCTCGAAAGGAGGAAGGAAGGCACTCATTCTTTCCTTTTCACTCTGGTCTAACATCGAAATCCAAAAGATGTTTCTGAGAACAGTAAGTGCAAAACTCCAGCATTTTAACACACGTAGAATAGTAAATGTAGAACAGTAAAGGTAAAGGTAATGCTACCATAAAGAACTGTGTTATTCTGATTTAGAACCCGTTTGAGAGACAATGTGTAACATTTTTTTTCTTTTCTTTTCTTTTTTACCACCATCACGTATTTATTTAAATTCATCATATAACGAGCCCTCTAGGCACTTATGGTTGATGGTTCAGATATTTCGTACCAGAATAAAAAAAAAAAGACATAATACATTTTTTGTATTCCATCGCAGCTCACTGTGGTCCTGGCGGTCGGGTTCCTGGTCGACGCCGAGGCCAAACCGGCTCCCAGTCCCATGGTTCTTCCTTATGGCGTTCCCGCTGTCCTGCCTGGCATGCTCGGAGCCCCTGTGGCACAGCCAATGTCTCCAATGATGTACCCTCCAACACCAGCGCTACTTGCTCCCCATCCACCAATGCTTCCCATTCATCCGCCTATGTTATCTCATCCACCAATGCTACCTATGTTAGCTCCTCATCCACCAATGCTGCCTATGTTAGCTCCTCATCCTCCAATGCTGCCTATGTTAGCTCCTCGTCCACCAATGCCTATGCACCTGCCTATGTTAGCTCCTCACCCACCAATGCTTCCTATCCCATCGCCCATGCTTCCTGCACCAATGATCCCATCCATGGTTCACGGTCCGTTATTAGCGCCTCACCCACCGATGGTGCCGGCGTTTGGTTAGGCGGAAGGCGTGGCACCATTTCCACTGGCCCCGAGGTAGGCGCCGAGGAGTATTGTTGCTTTATATAGGGGATAGTGAGATAGAGATAACAAATGATGGCACACACATACACACACACACACACATATCATATCACACACACACACACACACACACACACACACACACACACACACACACACACACACTATATATATATATATATATATATATATATATATACATTTCAAATCTTGCTTCTTTCACAGAATTTAGCTCCCGACGACGACTTCGACCTGGAAATAGCTGTTACAACACAATCCAATAGTCAGAATATTTGCAAGAGAGAAAATGGAAAAACAAATAAATAAAAAGATGCATTCATCTGTGTATATCATTAACCCATATAACATATTCATATACATATAACATGTAATATATATACATATATATGCACATATATGTATGTACATAAATGTACGCACACACACACGCACATATATATGTGTGCATGTGTGTGTATATATATATATATATATATATATATATATATATATATATATATATATATATATATATATATATGTATATGATATATATATATATATATATATATATATATATATATATATCAAGAAGAGAAACACCAGGGCTGGGACCGTCATATTTATTATGCGATGTTTCGGATTCATTAACTTAAATCCCTTCTCAAGCCATTCTATTGGGAGAAAGTACAATATAAGGACACTATAAAATAACATAAAATCATAAGTGGCCGTTACAAAATTAGATAACTTAAAATAAACTGATAAAACAAGTAAAAAGGATAAAACTAAAGTAATACTAAAACTTGTTAAAACACCAAAAATGTTTAACATACAGATAAAACGAAAAAATGTATGTACAAAAACAAAACAAAACGAAACATAAGAAAAATAAAATACACAACCAAAAGGACACTACTTACGGTCATTCGTTTAACTTTAAAAACACAAGAGTGGTGTGAAGGTTTCATTATTACTGAGAGTTGGTTTATGTATATATGTTAGTATGCTCTCCATGATAAGGAGCTGTTGGTGGTATGGTGTGCTTGCCAAGACTGAAAAATCTTTGCGATGTATGGGGTGATCTGTGTCAATTGCGTGATTACTGATTGCTGAAAAGGGTGGTTTGGTCATTTGGGTGCCAGTTCTGTCGGAAATATCCAGATGCTGTGAGATGCGTGTTTTCAAGTGTTTAGTGGTTTTACCGATCGATATATGATGCCTTACAGCTATCGCACGTATATTTGTAAACAATGTTAGATTTTTAATTCAGTGGGTACTGTGTCTTTGACTTGAAAAGGTTTTAAAGGTGTTCTTTGTTCTGAAA